TTGCAGCCCAACTTGTAACCACTACACCACCAGGGTGCTAAGAGGGAGCTAAGAGACTCAAAATCAGAGTGAGATGTGGTGATAGAAATAGAGGTAAGAGTCACGCAAATACTAATTTTGTAGATAAACAGAAGCCATAAGCTAAGAAATGTGGGCAGCCCCTAAAAGCTGGAAAAGAGATTGAATTCTTCTTTAGGAGCCCTGGTGGCATGAGTTTTTTATTTTTTTAATGCTTAAAATATTGATCTTGTTACATTCTTAGTGACTTTCAATTTTCCTGAATTCAAAGTGCTTTGTACTTTCCAGGTTCCGATTATTAATGGGCATTTGCTACTGTTTCTTCTCATTTTGAGTCATGCAACATTAGCAAATGAAAGGCCTAGAAACATGCGATGTTCACATCATTAAGGTGAATTCTACTTTGAGGAGGCAGCTCTTCCTGTCTTATTTTGAGTCCCTTTCGATCAAAAGGACTTATCTGCTGGCAGTCTGTCAGAATACTTTTTGCTGCAATTATAAGGTTTTCAGTGCTAAAATTTTTAGGAGTGAACTGTGCATTCCTTTTTTCTAGGATCTTAGTTTGGACACTTTGCTGAACCTTGTTCACCATGTGTGATCCTGATTGTATTTGAAATACCAGTGTCATAATTTCCAACATCACAGCAACATGCAAGCCACCATAGTACAAGCAACTGAGAGATGGATGGTGGACATAATTACACACACACACACACACACACACACATGACTGGACATAGCATTGCTGTTGTGAGATGCTGTCAAGTTGGTGCCAAACCATAGCAACCCTGTGCACTACAGCATGCAGCACTGCCACCTCCTGCACCATTGTTGCAGCCACCGTTCTAACTCATCCTGTTGCGAATCTTCCTTTTTTCAATGGCATCGCCACCAGACATGATGTCTTTCTCCAGGGCACTAGTCCCACCAACACTTAAAAAAAACACCTTATTGGTGATGATCCTCATTAGGACCAAGCCTCATCAATTAATTTAGACAATTGCTACATGTTCTATATATTGGGTTTTAAAATTTCACTAACAAACTGCAGTTGATCAACACAAAGCAAGGAGAGGTTAAGCAAGGAAACTATGCAAAACAATGGGAGAGAATATGTCTTCATTTGAATGTTAGCAAATGAGAATTCTGTTTTTATGTCAACATCAGTATGAAACAAGATCACAGGCTGGTGATCACAAGCTGCCAGGGCAGATGCATTTAAGGTTGGCAGGACAGATGACTGGTCAGATGGCAAGCTGCTGATGGCTTCTGGGGTTGGTAGGCAATATGGTGGCCTTTAGCTAAAGTCCAAAGAACCACAGGTTGATGAACTTGATATAGGATCCAGATCCAGCAAGCCAAGCAAGCTTACCCATAGTTCCCACTTATATATGAAGGAGGCCACTCCTGCTAGAAAATTCCCTTTCAATTACATCAGGGATATGACCTGAGTGAGGGGGTTGCAATCCATTCTAATTGTACAACTGGTGGACTTCTCACAGCAGATCCCCTTTGGAGTCGATTACACTGTGCTATGTAACATCAGAGGGAGTTGGTAGGCCGTATCTGCCAACCCACTGAGAACCCTGGTCTAGCCAAGTTGACACAAAACCTAACTGTCACATACAGCGTCATTAATATGCTGAATTCGTATCATATTTTGTGAAATGTTAGAAAATTGAGAACTATGTAAGTGATACAGCCTTGGCACAAAATAATGAAGTTATGCTGTCTTTTTGCCACATAAAGCTAATTCACTTAGGTATTTTCTCATAAACAGTAAAAAAGCATTCATCAAATAGCCACAGAGTCCCTGTGGGGGTTGCGCTGTTTGACGCAGTAAAAACGCCACATCCTGGAACGTGCCAGAAAGTGTGATGGAAGTTTATAGTGCATTGTACTTATCCTCTAGTTTGCTGGCTTGGCAGAAGCCATAGGAAAAAAACCAAAACGTGACATTGAGTTGATTCTTGCTGTTTTTATTTATTTCTTTATTTTCCTTGACTCTTCTTTTTAAAATTAAAAAAAATTTTTTAATCATTTTATTAGGGGTTCATACAACCCTTATCACAATCCACCAATTGTGTAAAGCACATTTGTACATTCATTGCCCTCATCATTCTCAAAACATCATTTGCTCTCCACTTAAGCCCCTGGCATCAGCTCCTCATTCCCCTCTGCCCCATGAACCCTTGATGATTTATAAATTATTATTTTGTCATATCTTGCACTATTTTTCTTTCTATGGCTTCTGCCAAACCAGTGAATTAGAGGACAGATGCAATTTCCTATACATTTCTTGCTTTATTGGAAAATATTTGAGTTTTCCTTTTCTGAAAGATTTCTGCCTCACACAGGTTCTGGATCATGCAGGTTTTGTGGAACATACTGTAAAAATGAAAGTGTTTTTTTGTGTCTTTACATCAATCGTAGTATCAGGCATCAAGTGCATAATAAATGTTAGTGAAGAAATTAAGAGCCTGCATTAAATGGTACTAATTACATTCAAAATGTTGTACAACTATCACCACTATCTATTTCCAAAACCTTTTCATCATCTTAAAGAGAAACTCTGTATTCTTCATTCCTTCTTCACTCCAGCCCCTGGCAACTTTAATCCACTCTTTACCGCTGTAAATTTACTTGATCTAGGTATTTCATATCAATATGTAGCATTTCATAAATGGAAGTTTTCTCTTAGCATAATATATCCAAAGTTTATATCATTTCATATAGCAGAACTTCAATTCATTTTATAGCTGAATTATATTTTATGACATGGATATGACACAATTTGCTTATTCACTGTTTAAAGACATTTAGTTGTTTCCACTATTTGGTTACCACCAGAGGTTCAGGCTGGATTCAGAAGAGAATACATGACAAGGGATCTCCTTGCTGATATCAGATGGACCTTGGCTTAAAGCAAAGAAACCAGAAAGATGTTTACTTGTGTTTCATTGACTATGGAATGTCATTCAACTGTATGGATCATAACAAACTGGGTATACTTGACCAGAATGGGAATTTCTGAACAGTTCCTTGTGCTTATGTGGAACTTGAACATGGATCAAGAAGCAGTTGTGTGAATGGGAACAAGGGGATACTGCATGCTTTAAAATCAGGAAAGGTGTGTGATAGGGCTGTAACCTTTCACCATACTTGTTCAGTCTGTATGCTGAGAAAATCATCAGAGAAGCAGGAGTATATAAAGAAGAGTGTGGCATCAGAATCAGAGGAAGGTTTATTAACAACCTGCAATAAGCAGATGACACGACCTTGCTTGTGGAAAGTCAGGAGGGCTTACAGCATTGCTGATGAAGATCAAGGATTGCAGCCTTGAGTATGAATTACAACTCAAAGTAAAGAAGACCAAAATCCTCACGACCGGACCAATACATTACATCATGCATGATAAACGGAGAAAAGATTGAAATTGAAAAGCATTTTGTCTTGCTTGGATCCACAATCAATGCTCATGGAAGCAGTAGTCAAGAGATCAAAAGAAGAGTTAAATTAGGTAAATGCTCTGCACAAGTTCTCTTGACAGTATTGCAAAGGAAGGATGTTACCTTGAGGACTAGGTTGCACCTGACCCAAGTCATGGTGATTCAATTTTCTCAAAGGTATGTGAAAGTTGGGCATTGACTAAATAAGACAGAAGAATTGATGTGTTTGAATGTCGGTGCTGGAATTGCTTCTTGGCCTTTTGGCTAAGATCAAATGAATTTTGGTGCTGGAAAAGAATATTGAAAATACCATGAACTACTAAAAGGACAAACCGATCTCTCTGGAAATATGGCCAGAGTGTTCTCTAGAGGCAAGGATTGCAAGATTTTGTCTCAAATTCTTTAGATGAAGAATTCTCAGGAGAGACCAGTCCTTGGAGAAGGACATCATGCTCAGCAGAGTAGAGGGGCAGAGAAAAAAGAGGAAGGGCTGGATGGAATGGATTGACATAGTGACTGCAACAAGGGCCTCACCATGGGAACAACTGTGAGGATATCCGGTGCCGAGCTGAGCAGTGTTTTTTTCTGATGTGTGCAGGGTTGCTATGGGTTGGAACCAACTCAATGGTACTTAACAAAAACAAGAATAGAGAAGCTTAGCATGCAATAAAGAAATACATGGTTTTTTCAAGTGTGCCATGACTACTCATAACATTGCTGAATATTTTAATTAATAGTTAATACTTTAAGACTAGATTCAAGAGAATTATAAGCATGGAAGATATGCTTGATAAATATCAATAATAGGCTGAAAAGCCCGAGTGGGTAAAGAAAAGGCATCAAACCCAAATGACCTCCCTAGATTCATTTTCCAATTTGGAAAGTATAGACTATTTCTTCTTCAATCTCTGTGTGTGTGTGTGCGTGTGTTTCTAAATAAGTATTGATTTTCAGTAATCAGATTTTAAGATAGTATTGCCCTATTTAGAGTTCCCAAGTAAAACTTGGTTAAGGAAAAGCTTGAATAACTGATAGATCGCCTTAAGGATTTCAAGATAAATCATACCTTAAAAAAATCATTAGTGCTAATGATCCTAGTTTTGATCAATGTAAATCTACTTCTATGTGTTCTGTGTATTGTGTTTTAAAATTTTACTAACCAACAACTAAAGTTGATGCATGCAAATTATGGAAACAAAGAAAGCATTGCAGAACAATGAAAGAGAATATGTCTTAATTTGCATACTAGTAAATGAGAAGGCAGCTTTCATTTCAACATCAATAAATTTTTTTTCAGCCTATCGACCCAATATATATATATGAGTCAATTTGATTTACTTTAGGAATAGCAATGGTTTTCTAGGAGACAGCGTTAGAGACATTCGTTCTGGTTCACACTGGACACAGAATTTAAAGGAGAACAAGAGCTTGACTGCACATTCAGAAATCAGATGCATGTTGAACCTTTAGGTTAGGATATTAAGGGAATCACGGGCAGTGATATTAGTTTTGGAGGCTTTCTTTGCACCAGACATGATACGTTCACTACAGAACATCTTTGCTGCAATATTAATAGTAGAATTTATCTTTGGACATGTTACTAATGGGTTCATAGCACTGGTGAACTGCATTGACTGGGTAAAGAGACAGAAGATCTCCTTAGCTGATGCCATTCTCACCGCTCTGGTGGTCTCCAGAATTGGCTTGCTCTGGGTAATATGGACAAATTGGTATTCAACGGTCTCAAATCCATTTATGCATAGGTGAGATGTTAGGGTCATTATTGCCTGGATTGTAACCAACCATTTTAGCATGTGGCTTGCTGCTTGCCTCAGCATATTGTATTTGCTCAAAATAGCAAATTTCTCTAGCCTTCTTTTTCTTTACCTGAAGTGGAGAGTTGAAAGATTGGTCCTGGTGATAATGCTGGGGACTTTGATCATTTTGGGTTTTCAATTTTCAGTGCTCAGAAGAGAGGAAACTATTCGGAGGAACGATTGTGAAGGAAACATGGCCTTGAAGACCAAGCCATGTGACACAGAGTGCTTTTCCCAACTGGCTGTCTTCATGCTGATCCTCGTTTTACCCTTTGCTACATCTCTGCTAGCTTTTCTGCTGCTAATCTTTTCCCTGTGGAAACATCTCAGGAAGATGCAGCTGAATGGCAAAGAACTGCAGGATCCCAGCACCAAGGCCCATCTCAAAGCCATGTGTACTGTGATCTTCTTCCTCTTGCTATTTGTCATCTATTTTTCATATCTCTAATGATAGCAGGTTGGAATTCTGGAACACAGAAGAGAAAGCAGACTTTCATTCTTTGGCATGCTATTGGAAGCATCTATCCTGCAGGTCACTCATTTATTCTGATTTTGGTAAACCAGAAGCTAAGACAGACCTTTCTGTCTGTTCTGTGGCAGCTGAGTGGAAAATCTTAATCGGTAAGAGTGTCCTCATGTGTCTTTGAGTTGAAAATTAAACAGATGGAGTGTTTGCAGATACAAGAAGGTAAGGCAAAAAGTATTGCTGATAGGATTCCAGTTCATACAGGCATATATTTATTCCAAATAAAATTTACTTAAACATGTCTCTGCAAAGTTACAGACAGGTGACCTCAGTAATATACTTACCTTAGTCTCTGTAGGTTGCCTTAAAAAAAAGTCCTAATCAAAACCATGCCTTTTGTCGGCAGGTGCTCAGCCAGTTCAGGTCCCAGCAGCGAGGCCGGCTCCTCAAGTTATGGTGAGTGCTTTGTTGTTGTTTTCAGTTCCAAAGGGATCATTTTGATGTTCGTTCAAGGCACACAGCATGATCATGAGAGTTTATTATTAGGAATTTTTAAGAAAATAAAAACTTCCTTGGTGAGCAAAAGCCCAGGAAAGCTGTGCTGAGGAACATTTTTCTAGGAATTACCTTTTTATTCCCCTTAGGGTAACAAGCCTCTCCTAAAAGTACCTTATCAGAAACCCTTATCTCGTCCACTCTGAAGTCCTGACTTGGACCCTTTAGACTTCTTTTGTGTTTCCCAAACTCTAAGCACATGTCAAAGAAATACAATTTTTATCCCCGCAGGATACCCAAACTATCGTCTTGATGTGTATCATTCCAGAGAGTTGGAAATATTGCCTCCAGAAGTGTATAGGTGCCTAATATTTTGATATTTTAATTTAACAGTGGTTTCTATTATTTTGTAGTAATACTTTTTGACTCACCGCCGAGTTTCCTCTTCCTTCTGGTTTCCTCACAGTATAGGGGACAGGAAGGGGCCCTGCCTGGGGAGCCCTCAAAGAAAGCACGGTGCTGCAAGCCTCCTCAGTGACCCCAGCAAAGACGACCTGGTGATGGCCGCCCTGAAAGATTAAGCGAAAGCCCATCGTCATTGAGTAGATTTTGATCTTTAGTGACCCTGTAGGTCAGAGTGGAATTTCCCCATAGTGTTTCCAAAGCTTTACATCTTGATGGAAGAACATTGCCCGGTTTTTGTCCAGCATATGGTTCCTTGATTTGAACCATCGACCGTTCAGTTAGCAGCCTAGCCTTTACTCACTGTGTACCAGGCTCCTCCATAAAGACGACAGCCAATGACACTCTAGGGACATTCTACGGTGTCCTCTGAGTTTGCGATGTGTCAGAGCTGACTCAATGCCACCCAACAGCAACGACGTGTGTACTGTGAAATATTTTACCTAAGCTTACCATTAAAATATACCAAAGCTTGTTTCTTTATATACTGCTGAAATCACGAAATAAGTGATTTTAAGAAAGGACGATTGTACTATATAGCCATCTGCCTTTCGCACACTCATTCTGTTATCATTTTCCAATGGAAAGATTCATGATCTATATTTATGCTTTATCAAGAATTGGCAACTTATATCTGGTTACCATTGCTATTTTCTGTTGTATTTTGTAGCATAGATATTTACCACACTATGTTTTAGTTTTATTGCATGACCGCCTAATTTTTTCCACATCTAACACGCTATCAACAAGCTGATTCAAATAGTGACCCTAGGAGTCAGCATTACTCTTTTGGGTTTCCAAGCTTGTGTGTGTGTGTGTTTAACATAAAATATGATTGTGTTTTCAGTGAAAATTTACAAAGCAAATCAGGTTCTCATTTAATAATGCCTATACAACAGTTTCAATGAAAAATTATAAATATTTTAGAAGTAGAGAATCTCATTTCTCCCAAAGAGTAGCTCTTAGGTGGACACTGTTGTTTTGCAGTTATCCGCCTGTAGTTGGTGGCGATCAGATTTCAGGTCACCTTGATAGTACCTGTGCGGAGCTGAGGATGGAGGCCAACCTGTTATCCGCGTAATGCCTCCTTGGGCGTGTGGCCTTTTTATAAGAAAGAGGGAGAACTCATTTCTCTCTTGTTCTTCTTTGCTTTCTGCTTGCCTGGGTAGTGTGCTTGGGTCTGGGGCTGGCAGTTCATGCGGCCAGCTTATCAGGGAGCTGTGATGCCCTGCCATGTTCCTACAGATCATAAATCCAAATGACTGCACCCACCGGCCGATGGTCTCCCACTTTCCAGTTTCACCTTGCTGCTCTATCCACCAGCAACTGCATGAGTCTGCAGGGGCTCCAGCTATTGTTGGACTCATGGACTTGAGTTGGATGGGTTCGGATGCTTTTTAAAAATAAAAAATTTTATTGGGGGCTCGTACAACTCATCACAATCCATCCATCCATCCATTGTATCAAGCACATTTGTACATTTGTTGCCATCATCATTTTCAAAGCATTTT